GTTAAGTTAATTACATTTATGTGACCTTAGCTATGGATACCATGACAGCTGTCCTTAGGATACAACAAATCAGAATGATAGTCATAGGTCTCATGCTTTAGGGCAGTACTTTTTAAACTGTGGGTCATGACCACAAATGGGGTTGTGAAAAATTTAGCAACAGTAAAAGGTTTCTGAACACACACAGACCAAAAATTAATTCAAAGTCAAGTGCACAATGAATCTGAGGTGTTTCTGGAAGGCCTTGGCTGTGCTGCATTGCACAACTTCACTGCAGCCTTGGTTCTGAACACAAAGCATGCACACTTTGCACTGCATATGCTCAGGACGCACGATGCCAACAAATGTTGTCGAAAAGTGAGAAGGGGTCACAAGTGGAAAAAGTTTAAGAAGCCCTGCTTTAGGGGAACCCGGTGCTGCTGGGAATGGTCAGTGACTCACATTAGTATTGGGTAAACTGAATAAGGTGATTCCTATCAGCTGGTGCTAGAAAAGAACCAAACTTCACAGCACTCTAGCAGGCAAACCGGGCTTGATGAAGTGAGGCACCCTAAAGAAGAGACGAATATGGTAGCATGTGTCTGACAAGTCCAACCACTACCACTGACCACCTCTCATCACATCTTAATGTAAATAGCCCAGGGAAAAGTAGTGCCTTCTGTTCATCAGCCCTGCTTCTAGCCTGACCTTGTAGCCATCATCAAGGGGAACAGTCACTATGGGGAAGGGATCCACCACTCTACCACCACCATCTACTGCCCAACTGCCATTGATGAGTACGTAAACCTAAGAGCCTGAAGAATAGCAGCATTCCCCATGCACTCGATCACTCACTGGTCCTGCTTTCAGCCCAGCCCCCACTGTTGTTGTTTGCTGTTTGTCCTTTGTTTTTGAAGAGGACCAATGACATCATGGGTAAAATCTTGACTCATGGGTGAACTGGATTTAAGTAAGGCAGAGGTGCACAAAGTCATCAGCCTCACTCTCTCTTCCAGAGTCATCAAAGTCCAGTGGCAGGACAAAAGTCAAGACAACTAATGATGGCCTAAGATTCAGTGGATAACCTGGTGTCTTTGATGCCTGATAAAGCTCTAAGTGCTCCACAGAGTCTGCTTCAGCCACCTTTATGGCTGTTGAAACATACTGTTCCCATTCCATCAGCAGAAGTTTTCACATGCTTGGCAGAGACATCTCCCTAACTTACCAACAGGTTTGAGGCCTGTCAGTTATAAAGTCATCATCCAAAGAAGCAACTCTTATGGAAAAGGGCCAGCCATCACCAACAGCCAACCAACTGTTACCCATATAGCAGTCAAGCTGCTACAGCAACAAAGTACCCTGAGAAAGAGACAGAAGGTGGCATGACATGTGTCAGGTAAATCAAACTTCCACCACTATGTTGACCACTACCTTCACTCAGACCAGGATAGAGATAGCCCAGCATCATGAACCTAAAAGTCTCAGAAATAGCAGCATCCCCCATACCACCAGCCCAGCCTTCACAGCCATCATCCAGGGAATCAACCCTGGTAGAGAAGGAGATGCTGCAGCCCCTGCCTCCTCTGCCACTATAGTGAGTGAAGACCCCGAAAAGAAAGTTCTCACTGCCAAAAGGCTTAACACTGTTAAGCCATTTATCATCAGAAATGGATACGGTTTTAGTAGTGGGAAGCTGAACAAGCTATTTTGCCATCTGTTTTGCTTCCACACCCTAAGGAACATGGGGCCTTTTCCATCTGACTTGCAGTTGAAACTTTGTATATGTGTTGCTTCCCCCATTAGAACATGAGTTCCCTGAGATCACAGACTGTTTTGCTTAATCTATAGCCCCCAAACACTTAGCATAGGGCTTCACATACAGCTAACACTACATAAATGCTCTTTCATTCAGTAAAGCAAAGCAGTCAGGACTCCTAACCTTTCCCTTATATACTCCTCAGATGGCCCTTTTATGCCTACTTTGGTCCTTCCAAGCTGCTTTTGATATTCACTTTAGCCTGATTTCATCCATATAAAAATGTTAGGGAATAAAAGTGAGTGGTAGGAGAGGGCAAGAGCCTGGGTTCCATACCCAACTGGGGTGGTATTTATTGGCTAGGATAACCTGCACTAGACAGGCCTGAATTGTTACTGATTGCCACTGGTTTTCAAAATGCCCTGGAATACATATTCTGTGGCTTAGTCGAGGTCCACTCCAAGCATAGCATAGCGGAAAGAAATTGGAGTTGGAAAATTGGACTTAAATTTTGATTCCCATATTTATCATTAATAATAATTACTAGCATTTATAAGTTTGCAAAGCCCTTTACATATGTTAACTCATTTGATCCTTACAATAACCCTGTGAGCTAGGTGCTATTATCCTCACTTTACAGATGAGGAAACTGATGCACAGAAAGGTTAAGTGACTTAACTTTAACGACTGATTGATTGATTGACTTTCCCTGGGTTACACAGGCAGTGTCTGAGATGGGATTCAAAACTCAGATCTTTTTGATTCCAAGTCTTGTGCTCTGTCTCTCTGTTTTAGTCACCATGCTGTATTCTATCATTTTTCAATATCTTGCAGTAATGACCCTAAACTATGAGTGTTTTCTTTTTGGATCATACTATTCCAGGAGGGAGACAAGAACTTAATTGGGGAAATGAAATTAGTTATATACAGAGATTTCCCCAGAACTCGATCAGAGTAGTAGCAAAGTACAAGGGAAATTTGTTAATTACTACGTGCAAGTGAATCTTATAAAATCCTACATCAACCCTTGAGGACCTTGAGGACCCTGGGCCAAGGAAATTTGGGCAGATGCTGGCTACAATTAGGACAACTTCACAACTATGCAGTGAGGCAAACCTCTGTTCCCTCTACCAACCTTTAGAATTGGGATTCAATTCCACCTTTCATGAGGCTCCATCCTCACAGTTTCATTATGCACATCAGTTCCTTCTCTCTACATTTTTATATAAGTAAAAACCTCTCAGCCCCAACAAACTGCAACAGAGACTTTATTCACCTCTCTCATGTCCCTAGGAAGGGGTGGAAAGTAGAGGAAGCATAACTCACTGGAAAGAGGATGATTTTGGATTCAGATCTAAGCTATGACACTCTTACCCATTTCATTTAATTTCACTGAGTACCAGAATCCTAAGAGGCCATATGGCAAACACAGAATGCTAGACTCATTAGGAGATGGGCATAGGAAACTTGCCTCAAACACTTACCAGCTGTATGAGTCCGAACTAGTCATAGAACTTAAACCTTTCTAAGCCCTGTTTCCTCAACTGTAAAATAAATCACATTTGTACAAACTGGACTTAACTTACACTCTACAACTTTGCTGGTTATTATTTCAATTTTTTTTTAATCTTCTAATGTGACTAGAGGATTTCTTCAGAATTCAAGTTTACCTTCAAAGCAGTCCAGAGGGATTGATTTAGGGGTGGGGGGGAGTAGGGGAAGGGTGTTTGAAATTTTTTCTTACTAGACAAATACAGAAAAGTGATTGTTCTTCCCTTACTGGGATTGGATGCCTTTAGATTCAGGGTCATCATCACCTAATTGCCTCAACTGAGGCCTAGTGAAAGAAAGTCTCTCCCAGCTTAAAGGGAGTCATATCTGTGTGAATGGAGAGACAATTTGGTTCAGCTTTTTGGGGCAGTTGAACCTGGGGGTTAGGATAGGGAGAAATGTCACAAACAGAACCCATTTAATTTGCTGAGGGCAGGCAGTTTAAACTGCATCAGTTTAAAAAGCTTCCCCTCTCTCTCAAACAGGGAACTCTTTCCCTCAGCTTTCAGTGATGGACCACTAAAGAGCCTGTGCCCCAGGCACTCTCATCCATCCCAGTAGAAACAGCTGTTCGCACACAGCAAATAAGAGTGCATGTACTGGCCTAAGGGAGGTTCTGGCTTTGTCTTTCAGCGAACATACAGCAGAAGAGAAGGGGGTGGTGCATAAGGAGTGGTTGCAATTCTGAGTTACATACACCTAGTCTTGGGGCAGTCTTGTGAACCAAGATATCAGGAGCTTGAGTCCCTCTGTGGGGGCCAACTGGCGACAGGAATTTCCTGCACTGGAAAGAATGACGACTGATAGGAAAAGGAACTTGGGCTGTGATGTGATTGGCCAGGTTCCTTTGGAGTTGCCTGAGCCATATTCTGGCAATTCCTAATGTCAGCAAGTAGAAGGGACCATTAAGGCCATAATACTCTGCTCTGCAGCATCCACCAATAAAAGAACAGTCAGGCTATCATAGCACTCCTGCCAGGAAAAGGAAGGCAGTGGCAGTACAGGGATGCAGAAACTCACATGGCTGGGGGATGGGTGGGAGGAGTTAGGTATGGCAGAGCAGAATACTCAGGACTCTGCAGGGCCACACATTTTAGGCCTATAACAATCTATCTTAGCGTGACAAACAGAGTTAGACCTAGTGCTTAACACAGTAGGTGATTAATAAGTGCTTACTGACCCCAGAATAAGGGGACAATGCTTGGTCCAACATCAGGCAGCAGAGCTAAGGCCCCAGTAGTGACAGAATCAGAGACAGCACACAGCCCCCCAGCACGGAGGAGAAGCACTTTACCCGGAGCAACAGATATGGGGGCCCCTTTAGCATGGCCAGAGACACTTAAAGGTTTATGAAATGCTTTCCTATAAAACAACTTGAGAGTACAAGTGCTAGCCTCATTTTACAGGCGAGGGAACACGGGCTAAGAGATGCTACATGAGTTGTTCACAGTCACAAACAAGTAGTACTTCAAACTCAGGCTTCAAGTATCCTAAATGCAAATCCAGTGCTCTTTTTACTACACCCTTAATCCTATATCTAATGTTTAAGGTTCTCAGGTTCATGAGATCGCCCTAAAAATGATCTAACCTCTTCAATTTAACTTAACACTCTTCCTAATGCTTTTTCAACTCAGTTAAACAAGCTTATTTCTGCATAGCTCAAGTTTATTAAAGTTTAGTAAACTGAGTATGGCAAAAAAAAATTGTTCATATATTTTCACTTTCAGAAAAAATGAATTTAATCTGGAATATATAAGAAGTTAAACACAGACACAGACAAACCCCCACCCCCAGAAGCAAATGTTGAAATTTCTTGTGTTGATTCCATTGACAAATGTTGGGTTAAGTCCAGTACAAACAGTCAAATTCAATGACATCTGACTACAAAAAGTAAATTGTTTATATATACTACAATTTATTCTGTATAAAACAAAGTTTATGTAGTCTTCCTTATTTCTTTCATTCTACATTACTGTCATCCTCTGCAGAATAGATAGCTTGATTCCTTCTCTTAATTTTCTTTTGCAAGTGGTTTCCATTTCCAGTTTCATCACTTAGTCTTTTAAAGGGTTTCTCATTTAAGTTCTTCCCTTCTGATTCCTGATTTTCACTAGATTTCTCCAGTTCATTTGTGGAATTCATTGTATCATCAGAAGATACTACCATGGAATCTGGTAAGATCCTAATATCAGAGAAGCTTGTTGAAAAGTCAGGAGGGTGATGCTCAGATGAGGGCTCCACTGAGGGAGTTCTAATGTCACTATGTAGACCTGTAATACTATCTTCACCCTCATCATCCTCATCAAGCATTATTTCATCAGGGTTAATAGAGGAAGACAGAACAGAGTTATCTGTGTTATATTCACTTGGTTCTTCTCCTGATCCATTACTGTCCACTTCCTCATCATAATCTCCACGTAATGAACTTTCTTCTATCACCTGTTGAATTCTATTATTGATATCAGTGAGGCCAAGCTGGGCACAAAATTCTGTGGTCTGAGGACTGATCCTATGAACTAACTCCATGTGTTTCTGGGGCTTGCTAGGATCATAGCATACAGCTGTCACACTGAAGTTACAAGGAACTTTCAGGTCATGGTTCATTTCTTCCAATACCTCTTTCATTGCTTCTTCTGTTGCACTATAATCCCACCTAGAAATGTTTGGGCAAAAAAGTATTATTTATTTTTATCTTGGTAAAATTAAACATTAATTAAAAATTAATTTTAGGCTCACAAATAGAAAATACATTCAATTTTGTGAAGATAATTAATTTTAAAAATAATTTACTCCAGAAAGCTATCTCTAACTGACGAAAGACAAGTCCATGTTATTCCAAACACAAAGTTTTTCCTCCAGAATGCTCTAGTTATAAGGCACTTTTTAAAACATACATGTGATGGTCATCTCCTATCTTTCCCTTTAGGTGGTAAGCCCTTACATCTCTAGACTACTCTATCTATATGGCAGTAGCTTTTTTTTCATACTAGTCAGTGGGAAAATTCAATTTATCTTGATGATTATTCAAGAATAATTTCCCTCCATTCTTGGCTTACTTTAAGTTATGCATGTATCAGAAACAGAAAAACTTTTTTCAATAAAACCATAGCTATTTAACAAGTATTTGAATCCCTAAGGTGGGCTAGGCACTGGTGATAAAAAGACAAAAACAGGCCCAAACTTCAAGGACAGGGAGAAAATGGGAATATCATGTACACGGATAAGCACATATAAAACAAACACAAAATAATATAGCACCTGATTTGACTTACTTTGCATGGAGGCCATTATTTTCAGGCATAGTCCATGAGCCTCGTGACACATTTACAAGACTATTAGTAGCCTTTAGAATGGTGAGCCATTCAAGGTCGTATTCCAAATAGTCTGGTCCACTCAAGTCATGCTGTATTTCTATTATCTATGTAAAAAAAAAAGGATACTTTTAGGAAGATCTATTCATTTTAACATTATTGCCATTGAAACCAAACATAGTATGCTCTCTATTTTCACTATTCAATAAACCATATTTTCATTCTCAAGGAAGAAATCAATCATCTGACCTCAAGATTAATTACCCCAAAATAAGAAATTAAAGTGTAGAGATGTACTACACATTGATAGAGTTATCTAACATTTTAAAAAATATCCTGGCTACCTAAAGCAACATCTTATTTTAGGACTATCTAAAACAACAATTATAATTTCCAAAATTTTGTAATAATTATAATTTCCAATTCAATTATCCAGCTTCTCAATCACCTACGCTTCTTCCCTACAGAAGAGGATGATGATGACAGTATGTGGTATTTTAAAATAATAGTAATTACAAAGTATCTAAGCCTGAGTCACCAAATATAATTTTTTTAAGAATTTATTATTCTATCATGTCACTGTCCCCAAAGATTTGAATTTTGTATTTCATCTTTTAGGCACACTAATACATTGTTCCTAGAACTATGAATTGGTCCAACTATTCTAGAAAATCATTTGAAATTATAGAAGAAAAGCCATTAAACCATCCAGATACAGTCAATGTTGATTTTAAATGTCTTTTTCTTTGTTACAAGGGAAGGCTCAATATGATGGAAAGAGGAGTATATCCAGAAATAACTATGATGTAAAAACAAAGGACTTGAAAAAAGAGAAATCAGATAGACAAAACACACATAAACACAAAAGTATACATATTATTAACATACATTTACAATAGACAAAACACACATAAACACAAAAGTATACATATTATTAACATACATTTACATACTATCACTTTAAAATTTTTACAAAACTTCTTTTTAAACAATACTGTAAAGCAGGTAATACAAGTATTTTACAAATATAAAAACTGAAGCTCAGAGAAATTAAAGTCATGATTTGCTTAACATCATATACCCAATAAGCATGACTCTATAACTGACATGTATGTACTCTTGACAGGAAAAACCAGTAGATTAGATGAATGAAATTCTTTCTATATTCTCAGTATATAAACACTACAAAAGACAATCATCTTATTTCATTTTTACCTGTAGGAAGTCTCTGTGTGGCAGACATTTGTCTAAGGCTAAAAATTTGGTTACTTTTGGTAGCTGTCCATCATTGGCCTAGAAAACATAAATTATGGTTTAACTGTTAAAAAGTAGACACCTATTAATTAGAAATGGCTAAATAAACTATGATACACGAATGTAACAGACTATTTCTGAGCCATAATGAATGACGAATATCAACAATTCAGATAAGCCTCATTAAGATTTATATGAACTAATGAAGAGTGAAGCAAGCAGAACTAGAAATATACAATGTCTACAATATTATATGTAAGAAGACCAAAAAAACCGAAACTGAATACTATATTTTAGCCCTGGACAGGAACTGAGAAATGCACTTCCTTCTCTTCTTTCCAGAGGTAGGGGATTATGGTTAGGAAACACTGCATGTAATGTCAGACTCCACTAATATTACTGGTCGGTTGATTTCCCTGAACTGCTTTCTCTTTTAAAATTCTTTATCATGAATGATGCTTTGCTTACTAGGGAAGGGGGAAAGGATACATTCAGAAATGAAGGTGATGTAAAAAATATAAGCCCCAGTTTCCTCACTTCTAGAGTAAGGAAGTTGAGTTAGATCATGTCTAAGATCCATTCTTGTCTTAAAAATTCTACAGTTCTCAGAATAAAAAGGCTGCCTACTTTACCAAAAGCTGCATTTCAGGACTCTTCTTCCTTCTCCCACCCAAGCTGTCTTGTCCCCCTGAAATTTATCCTTTCTTATAATATGCCTTCTCCCTCTAGCTCTGTAATCCCAGTTTCAATCATCCTTTTGGGAATACCAGGAATCATATAGTACAGGAAAAGAATCACAGAAGTACACGAAATAAGGGAATGAACATTTGGAGTCTCTGGGAATGGACATTAAGGGCAGGACAAAAGATCTCAGTCTGGGTCCTTAGAACTAAGAAGATCTTACAAGATTCAACTGGGTATATGTAGAAAGCTTAAAAAAAAAATCAAAAATTTATTAAGAGCCCACTCAGTAAAACACCATGCCTAGATGCTAGGAAGACAAAGTTTAGATATTCCCCTTCTTTTAAACTTTCCTTCAGTCCCCTGCATCATCTCAACCCATCATCTCTTCTCCTTTCTCTGTTCCATTATGGAGTAATCAATATCCAATGGCTCTACTTCCTCATCATTCAACTCTTTTGCCTCTTGTAATGGAGACAAATCAGGTTACAACACTAAAAATGCTCTATCAAGGGACACCATTGATCTATTCATCACTATACGCAGTGGCATTTTCTTAGGCACCATCCACTTTGACCTCTCTGTAGCACAACACGGAAAATTCTCCTTAAAAACCTACCCTCAGGGAAGCTAGGTGGTGCAGTGGATAGAGCACTGGCCCTGGAGTCAGGAGGACCTGAGTTCAAATCCAGCCTCAGACACATAATACTCACTAGTTGTGTGGCTCTGGACAAGTCACTTAATCCCAACTGCCTCACCAAAAAAACAAAACAAAACAAAACAAAAAACCTATCCTCAGATAACAGTGGTTTGTTTCATATAATTATCTATTTATATAAGAAATTGCTAAGTATTTATTAAGTGCCTACTATATGCCAGGCACTGTGCTGGTTTTGGAGATACAAATACAAAAGCAAGACAGTGTCTACCTCAAAGAGACTACATTTAATTGAGGGGACAGAACATGTTCAAAGAAAAGTAAACTATAAGAAACATACCAAATATAATCAAAGACAGAACTAAGAGGAAAAAGAATGACAACTGGGGGAATCACAAAAGGCCTCTTGAAGGAAGTGTCACTTGAGCTGAGCTGTAAGTTCCAAGAGGAAGAAGTAAGGAGAGAGAACATCCTAAGCACTGTCAATAGTCTATGTCAAGGTTCAGAGGCAAGAAATGCAATATGGTGAACAGGGAACAATAAGTAAATCAGTTTTGTGCTGAGGGGATGTATATAATTAGTGTGTATGCAATTAATCAGCCTAGAAAGTGGTACCAAGAAAGAAGGTATTAGGTCAATTTATTTTTTCCCCAATGGATCTGAATAAAAGAAATATGAAGTTTCCGCTTGAAAGAGCTACAGTATTAGTTAGAGAAAGCCCATTTAGGAGTGAGACATTAAAAAGGCTAAGTAGGCTTCTCAATAGTAACTACATATTTGATACATATTACCTGATGTTTCATGAAAGCTGCAAACTTCACATGAAGGTGTGCAGAAAACCAGTAAGTAGGTTTCAAATGATGTAAAAGCTCTGAAGCCGCAGGGCTTCCTAATGTGTTGTTTTCGACTTCTTGTCGAAAAAAGGATTTTGTTTGAAGAAGTTGTTTTTTATTGCCATAATGGTATATACTTCTTGGCCAGTCATGAGACAGGAATATATCAATAGGTTGTTTCAGCTGTAAAACAAAACAACACAACATTTAAGGATAGCCTGACCTAAAAATCAGGACCCTCACTTCCCTCCTCTTCCATAATCCCTTCCCTAGCCACACAACCATTTGGTCATTCTGTCCACTGCTGCTCAAATTAAGACCTTATCTCCCCTCTAACATTAAGATGGTCGCAGATGTTATTCAGCTGTTCAAAGCAAATAGAAATCCTTGTTCTGAGGAACCTGAGTCAGCCTTTTACACAACTTCTAATGCAAATACATGGTATTTATTTTAGAAATTTATGATAGCTACACACTTTCTGAACGCCTTCTACATAACAGCAACATGCTAGGAAATGTCTGGGAATATAAAAAAGTCTAAGATATAGAACCTGCCATCAGCAACTTACATTCTAACTTCAGAAGAGACAAATTATATATACATATAAACAAAATTATAAGACTTTAAGATTTTAAAGCAAAATTATAAGATTTCAACAACATAGGATTAATTGCCCAATTAATATTACAGACAGTAATTACTATAGGACATCAAAAAAGAGAAAAATCACTTAGGAATAAGAAAAAATGAACTATAAGGCTGGAGTGGACTTGAGTAGACAGAAAAAAAAGGAGGGCATTATTAGCAAGAGAACTGAAGAGACAAAACACGAAGGAATACTAGTAAGCACCAATACGTTTGTTTAGCTAATACTACATCAGGAGATGCTGTACCAACCTGATTACAAAAAAAATTTATAGGGACTTTAATTTTTATAAAAAATTATTTCCAAGGCTGCATTAGTGTACTTTTTTTTTCCATACCTGTTTTAATTTGAAGACTTCAATATTTCTCACATGGTATACACTTCTTACTGAGTTTTGATCATAAGGAGGGCACTCATAATGTCCTGAAATTAATAAAGTTAATAAAGTGAAATAAGTCACATTTAAATCATTAGAATATTATACTTTCCTATTCTTCAAGACAATTCACAAATGCTAAAACACATTACAGTTGTTTGCTTACACTACATTTGCTTTTATATTTTGGAACTCTGATACTTTTTAAATTGTTATAACAAATTCATTTATGACTTATGTAAAAAATTAAATTGAATTACTTCTGGAGTAAGATGATTTGTAATTTGTGGACTGTGTTGTATGTACTTGTTTTAAGGTTATAAGAATTTAGAGAAGTACCTATGAAAATAACAAGGAAATATGCTATGTTACCTATAAGTTTCTATGCAACACTTTGAAAGTCATATTACCTTTGCGGTAGTCATGAGATTTGAAGATACCAGAGATTCCACCAATTCTTACACCACGGAATTTAACCACTCCAGCATATCCTGAAAAATTATACATGCAAGCAAAATCCCCATGTGCTTCAATATTACACATCAGAAATATAATCTCAGATCTAAATATATGAGCTAATTATGTTTATAATACATCTAAATTCACAATGCCAATTAATTCATTATGAGAAAATTACCTTAAATAAGCTTTAAAATGAAAAGTAATCAGCAATAATAATGAAGAATTATAAGATAAAGCAAATCATTACCAAGATCTGCTGAAAAACAAAAATTTAATAACCTCTTATAAAATTCCCAAGGTCTATGTCTTGGCAGAGACTGGGGTTCAAAGTAAGAACTTGCCCTAATACAAAGCTTCTGGAGCTTATATGGAAGAAAAAGAAAAGATGCCTTCTAAGGAATTATCATTAGAACCGACTTGTCTTAGAGCTCAATAACAACAAACTCAATAGATCAACCAACAGCTATATTTCCAATTGCCTTTGCATACAGATCAAAATAAACATTCCACCGGCTAGAACATGTAAGTTTTTTCCCATTAAAAGTTTTAACCCTTTCATCTTTGCACTACAACCTCATGGTCCAACTGTCCAGATTGGTGACTATCACTGCTTGAATACAGACTTACTTTGAATTTCACAGAACACCACATACTCTGTTGTCTGAAGGTACATATAAAGACATATGCATGCCTCCCACCATTCCACATAACAAAAAATGATGAGCAATTACCTAGATAATATATGTTTGGTGCCACCCAGCCACCATAAGGTAGCTCCTGCAAGTGATTAGAAGCTTCATGATTTCCTCCAATGAAGACTGTAAGAACAGGAGCTTTCTTCTCACCACAGTAATACCTATGACACAAGAATAAATCTGTCAATTACACTATACAACCCCATACTGTCAGATTGCTTGTTATGGATACAATACACTAGAAATTTTTCCATGATGGCAACATAATTCAAATATTCCTTAAGCAACTAGACATGAAGAACAAGTCACTCTGGAGTGTGTATAAGAGGAAGGCATGGGAAGTATTTTTTAAGGGTATTTTAACCTGCATTTAGGAATAGAGTGAAATTAATGTGAGCTCTATGAAGCCAAGGCCCATTTTTTTTCATCTTTATAATCTCAGAACCTGCACTATACAAGGTATTTAAGAAATGCTTGTTAAATTAAACAATTCAAGTTTACATAGCCTTTTAAAGTTTGCAAAGACACTATCTTTTTTGATCCTCAAAATAATCCAATAAGGTAGATGCTATCATTAACCACATTTTACAGATAAGGAAACTGAGACTCAGTGAGATTAAGTGACTTGTCCAAGATATCCAACAATTCAATTCAATTCAAACGTTTATCAAGGGCCTACTATGTGCAAGTACTGTGCTAAGCGCCAGGGATACAAATGAGGCAAAAAACTGAATCAAAGATGGATCTCTCTGATTACGGACCGACCCTGTATCTTGATCCAAGACAAGACCTTGCCACCCGCGAACTACCTGGTGATCAGTGCAAGTTACATCTACTCATTCCCCTTTCTCTGGCCAGAAAGGAAGATGGAGGGGATATAAACGATGAGACCTGCATCGTTGGGTGAGAGGAAGGCAGAAAAGCTCAGAAATTGCTAATGGGGAAGAGGCAGGAGATAGACGGAAAGGGAGGGAAAGGAAGAACGAGAGGTGAGGGAGGGAGAGAAAGAGACAGGAGGAAAGCGAGAAGGACAAGGAGAGGAGGAGGAGGAGGGAGTGAGCAGGAGATGGATGGCGGGGGGTGGCAGAGGAGGGCCCCACGCAGGGGGCGGACTTCACCTGTAGAAGCTCTGCATGTGCCGGTACTTGGGGGGCACGGCCATGCAGCGGAGGTCGGCCTCGTTGCGCACCGCCTGGAAGTCGCCGCAGCACAGCAGCAGGTCCGCCGGCCCCCCGCCCCGCCGCTCCGCCAGCGCCAGCGTTTCGTAGATCTTGTCCAGCTCTCCATGACAGCAGCCAGTCACGGCCACCCGCATCCTGCCCACCCGAAACTGCGACCTCTGCCCTCCCGTCCAGCAACCAAACTAAGCTCCAGGGACCTCTTCCGCCACACCGGGGGAGAAGCCGCAGCCAGACGTTCACCCGGGCCTCGAGCGGCCCCGACAGGAGCAGCCAGACTCCCGCCTTTCCCCGGTTTCAGTCAAACTTCTAGCGGAAGTGGCGCACCTCCTCGCTACAAAAGCCCCGGGACTTCCTGCTCGGCAAGTCTCGCGATGAGGAGGGAGGCGCTCCGCACGCGAGAGTTGGCCGGCGCCTGGCCAGTGCGCAGGCCTCGTCTGACTCGTGGGAAAACTAGCGTTCCGTTTGTGGTGTCCCTTTCTGTGGGGTTCTGTGCGAAGCGGGGCCAGGAAAACGTTAATGGTTTAAAAAAATTATCTTTGAGTTTTGCTTTTACATTACATACATTTACATGTATGTAATGTATAAAACTAACAGCACAGTGACCTCAGAAAGCTCATGCAACGTCCCATATCTTACTTAGCAGCCCCGCCATCACCATCCTAATTTGCTTGAAAGTTAACACAAACATATTTGTCTTCCACCTCTACTCCATCGGGGGAAAAAGAAAAGAAAATTGTTTGTAACGAACTAGCCAAGCACGTGTCCTGAATCTTTTGCAGCCTGACTGAATTGTATAGTACGGTCTGAGCTCCCCATTGAGGGTCCTCCAAATCAACAATCTCAGTATTGAGTGTAACCTTTCTCCGAGTGGTATCCTGAATCTTGACTTTTAAATTATGATAGCTCAAAATGTATAGCTATTGATGGATAGGGTCAGGGCAAAGACTTTCAGTGTTGTTACCCTGCCATGTTAGTCACGGGGCTTTTCAGAAAATCTTGGGCAGGAGCCTCATCCACACTCAGAGCTTCATTTTGAAAGATTCCTCTTATGTAAGTCAAATAAAATACTCCTCTTGTAGGATCACCCTAATCTCTCCTTTATAATTGAGGCCAGTAACTTACCCAGACCTGCTAAACCATGTCTATTTATAATCTCTAGGTTATACTCATTTGGGAGCTATACTCTGCTCTTTTTTGAGAGCATTTCCTCCTCTTAGCAGCTTCCTACCCAGCATGGTGCAGTGGAAAGACTACTGGATTTGGAGTCAAAGGACCAGAGTTTAAATCTTAGCTCCACTCCTTATTACTTGAGTGACCTTGGACAAATCTCTAAGCCCAACTGGGCCTCAAAATATAAATACAAAATATATGAATATAACAATAAATTAACTAAATAAATAATATACATTATATATGGTGACATAATAATAATAAAATTAAATAAAATAAATATAAAATTAAAGGATTGGAGCAGATGATTTCTAAGGTCCTTCCTAGTTCTGAATCTATAATTCTATGATCTGATTCTCTGACTCCATCATACCTAAGAGATGGCAAAGATCTCAAAAGTGGTATTAAAAATACTATGTCTCATTTTTATTTCAGGAGGTAGTCAGGGATGCTAAATGAAGCATTGTTCCACTCCTCTTCATTGCTTATCTCATCATCCATTCATTCCAGCCATGTAGTCATCCCATAAACTGAAGCTTTATTGAAGTTGTCTCTCCAACTGAGAAATTGCTTTAGTAGGATAGTTGTCCAAAGAAGCTTGGGAAGTGGAGTGAATTAGTCAACTATTCTTCTTCAACAACCCAGTCCACACTATTCCATGATGATTTTTGTATCTGGATAATAGAAGATCTGATGTACTCAACTAATGCCTAAATTCTGGATGCTCTCTTATAATGTCTGAACTGGAAAGGCGGTCAGCCCTGAATAGAAGCAATCCTCCATGGCACCCCCATAGAAGAAAAATCAGTTTATCTTCAGAGTATTCAGTGATGGAGGCCAGGCCAAACAAAGCCATAACTAGCATAAATATTAATGTATATAGGGATATATTTTCAACCCTTACAATACAGGAGGTGTCCATGATAGTCATTCCTAAACGTAAGGAGGAATAGTAAATGAGGTGTGCATGGATGCTGCTGGTTCTAACAGACCAGAACCTCATCCTTTGTCAGCAGCATCTCACTTTTGGTCCTCTTACCACCCCTTGACTTATGACAACTGGTGACATTCACCCAGAAAACTTGAATTTCTCCTAGACTTAAACACATAGCTTGTAATACAATTACAGAAAGATTTATTCAAGCACTCTGGAGTGGGACACTTCCTTAACAATAAAGAAAGCAATACATTTTTTTTAAAAAATTACCGACACTGATATAGCACTGCAAGGGGTTAAAAAGTGCTTTCCATAGCTATTGATAAATCAACAAGCATTTATGAAGTACCTACTGTTGTCATGCACTGTGCTAGGCACTGGGAATGCAAACCTAAAAATGAAACAACCTCTGTCATAGAATAGTTTACACTCTGACAGGGGAAACAACATGTATACATGTGTAACAGGAACTAGTATCTCTCTAGAGCATCTCTGACATCTCCCCATGTGGAGAAGGCTAGGGAGCCAACTCCCAGAAGAGTTGTGACAAGTATCATAGAAAGGGGGGAGCCAGGTGGCACAGTGGATAGAGCACCAGCCTTGGAGTCAGGAGGACCTGAGTTCAAATCCAGCCTCCGATACATAACACTTACTAGCTGTGAGACCCTGGACAAGTCACTTAACCCCAATTACCTTGGCAAAAAAAAAAAGTTTAAAAAAAGTATAATAGAATGATAACAACAACATGAAGCGTTTGCATAGGACTTTAAGGTTTGCAAAGAACTTTATATTACTCTCTCATCTGATCCTCACCACAACCTGGGAGGCAGGTATTATTATTACTCACGTTTAATAGATGAGGAAACTGAGATAGACAAATTAAGTGACTCTCCCAGTATCACACAGGAAGTAAGTATCTGAGGCCTGATTTACACTTAGGTCTTCCTGAGTCCAGATCCAATGCTCTACCCACTGGAAATGCCTTGGAGAAACAACAGAACCCATAAGAACATTTTGTAATTGGTTCTGGTCAGCTAACTACATGGTGAAGAGGATGCTCATTTATTGACTGCAGAAGCATTCAAAAAGTACTAGCTGACCAGAGCCTTAATCAGTTCTCTTTGGCTAGTAGATCTAGTGAATCTCCATTCATTGTTTGACTCTTTCACTGACAGTGCACAGTGACAGTCACTATTGTAAAAGGAAAGGCACTGAGGCCTGGATGTAGCCCTGTGAAACACATCAACCTTTTGCCTCTGTATTTCTTCTTTCCCATTTTAGGTAAAGGGATCGGAATCTATAATCTTATTAGTTTTGAAAAGTCAATGAGCCTCTGGATGCCTCATCATGTCATAGATTTCAGGTGTGCGAGTCCATGTTGGCTGTGCAGCCAGTTCATAATTAATGCCCCAGGGAGCCCTTGGCTACAGAACCCAGCAGTTGCTGAGATTAAGAATCATTTGGCAACCTTTGGACATGTACTTGATGGGACTGATTCTTTTAAAGAACTGAGCTAAGTCTCTGCCCACTCTCCCCAGAGATCAAAATGGTATAGGGGAGTGTGTCCCTGGGATATTGGAAGAAATATTTGAGCTTTTTATTTTTATTTTTTTACATAAATATACCTTTGTTACTAATTGATGTTAAGTAGTTAAGTGGAACTAGGGCATAACTCACTAGCAGCTAACAGTGGGAGGAGATACAACCAATTTTATTTTAGATTCAGTTAGGTGGGGAAATAGATAGAGCACTGGACAGAGAAACAAGAAAATCTGAGTTCAAATCCAGCCTCACACTTAGCAGCTGTGCAATCCTAGACAGGTCACTTAACCTCTATCTGCCTTAGGTTCCTCTACTGTAAAATGAGGATAAATAACAGCACCTTTCTCCTAAGACTGTTGTGAAGATAAAATGCAATAATATTTGTAAAGCACTTTGCAAACCTTAGAACATTATATAGATGCTAACTATTATTAACCACTGGAGGATCAAGTGGACATCATCAGAGAAGAGAAACCTCCTGACACCCTTAGAACCTTGAGGAAGAGAATTAACTAGCCTCACTCTAGAATCACAGAATGTACTTACTACACATATGAATATAGACAAAACATGTATAACAATGACTACCCTGATCCGCACCGCCTGAAGAGCAGGTATGAATCCCAGGTTTCTTCGGTACCATTAAGGGGTTTTGGGGATGCCTAGGCTCTCTTCCAATGGCTTTAGTCCCCAACCCCCCCATGATGTTCTCTCAATTGTAAGGGAAGGGTCCCCTGTACCCCAGTTCCATTTAATGACTTAACACTCAGACTAGCTTTTACAAACATTTACTGCAAAGGTATAATCACAAACATACAAATTTACTCCACAATGTGTGGGAGGCATAACCTCAACCTCTTACTCCCTCAGTCTCTAGGAGAGGAAGAGTATTGGGTTCATAGATTAGTTCAGTTCTTATATAGCACAGTCCCAAATTCCAAGTCCAAAGCCACTCTCTGGTTCAAGTCCCAGGCACCTTGACTTCTCAGGGCTTTCTGCCAGGATGGCTCATTGCAACACCCCTCTTGGAATCCTGGCTCTAGGCTAGAACTATGGGTTTCACTCCTGGTCCCATAGGGATTACCACTGGCACTTGAAGTTGATAAGAACAAATGAAACAGAGCAGAACAGAAACTGGAAAAAACCCAGCTTAATTCTCAGAGCCATTAAGTAAAACAAGAGAAGTGGGGAGAAATTATCTCCCTTTCCCTATTCAATTCATAGCCCCCAGGATGTGGATAAACTACCCTCTGGGTAGCATCGGGAAAGGGTGCAGAAAAGAGAGTGAGGCAGTCCAATGCTGCAGTTTTAAAGACTCAGACTATTATGGCTACATAGTCAATTGAAAGAGACTATTCCCACCCAAGTGCTAGGGGAACATAGAGAAGCATGGTGCACATCCATGTTAGGTGATTTGGACATGTTCCAAAGGCCTATTACATATATAAATGTTATACACACATATATACACACATGTAAATGTATAATATGTGTGTGTGTGTGTGTGCGTGTGTGTTTAAGGGGATGGCAGCAGCAAGGAGAATGACAAATGGATTTATTTAGGAGGTAGTATTTGAAATGAATTTTGAAGGAAATTAGAGATTCTTACTCAACCTTCACAACAACCCTGTGATGTAGGTACTACAGGATGTATTGCCTTAATGGAGGCCCAATAAGATGAAATGTTCCACCTAAAGGCTCACTAGTAGAAAACATCAAAGACCAGGATTCAAGCCCTGGATTTTCTAACTTAAAATCTAGAGCCTGTTTCAACCATTATAGATCTACCTCTCTATTTGTTTTCTCAGGGCACATTACACTGAAATATTATGCTTATTGTCACATAAATTGATTATATTCAATGCTGAATTTTATTCAATATTCATTTCATTCAATAATGAATGTGTTCTTGTTGTAGTATATATGTTTTTAGAATAAATCGATGTTTACCCTACCACAAAGTAGACTCTAGGGCAGTCACAAGGGAAAATGTTAAAAGACTTTTGTAACTAAATTACTGTCAAACACCAAATCACTGCTGAAAGCCGGGATCTTTAAGACTGAGTTAATGTTTGTTATGTTGTAAAAGGACTTTTGCTTCCATGAAATTTGGAGCAAGAGGACAAGGTAACTGTCCCCCAGTCCAGGAGAAGAAGATGTGCCACTCTAGAGGAAAATGACTGTAATTTGTGGTAGTTTGTCTACCATATCCAGGATGAAAACAAAAACAAAAGCATATATTAATTCTAGATGAATATCTTCCTAGGAACTGTGAAAAATGTAGCTGAGAATGGGAAAATTGTTTGGAACAGGCTGCTGCACTTACTATTTTATACTTTTGCCAACTACATTGTAACTCAGTTCCACAAATATATTCTTTTTTAAAAATTTTTTATTTTTAGGCAGTTGGGGTAAAGTGACTTGACCCTGGTCACACAGCTAGTAAGTTTCTGAGGCCAGATTGGAATTCAGATCTTCCTGACCCTTATGTCTAGTATTCTATCCACTGTGCCACTGGCTGCCTCTAAGTGGGAATGGGACTGTGCTGCTATCTTATTACAAAATTGAAAACTGGCAAAGAAGGTTGTAAATGCAATACCAAGAATTTCAGAATGACCCTTTCTTTAAACAGCATTTTGCTTCCTAATACCACTTTTTCCTCTCAGACCACACATGACTTATTAACACAACTTGACTAGACTTGACTATCAACTTTGTGTTTTTACTACCTCAGAGAGGTAAGAAGATTTAATTAGACACTTTCTGCAGTAAAGCCAAAACTGAAGTTTCAATCTGTAATGAACATAAATGCCAAGAAAGAGACTGATAGTTGACATAATCAGAAAAATCGCCCTTTAATAGGAGCCTAATTGAATTAGCTGCAGGTGGATTTGGGAGAGCCCCACATGATTTCAGCACTAGGCAACTAGAGGAGAGCTCTCATCATTAAGCAATGAAATTGACTCTAACATGCTGAGATACTCCAACAGGACAGAGCCAGCTCTGAGGTCAAGAATTTCTTGAGTGAAAAGATATGGGCCATAAATGGTGAGCTCACTTGTCAATATTGTCCAGACTGCTCAAAACATTAAGACTCTTTTCTGACCTCTGGCCCTGGAATTATGCCTGGAGGTTCTCAGAGTAGGAGTGTAGTTATTCACAATGGCTCTTTTATGCCCATTACCCATGAAGAGAATCTGGGTCCTAGCTCAGACACTAAGTAATCCATCATGATGTGTGAGATGTAAAATTCTCAGAGAAGCCTTCCTGATTCTTAGTAAATGATTCTGGAAAAACACCAGATATCTGGTATGGAAAAGGGAAGCTACATAAGTTCTATGCTTTGTAACCAGCCAGTTGCAGTATACGCAAAATAAATCTAAAATGAGGATGCAGTTGCAATACTTAATAAGATTTGTTGTATTCACAAATAGGAAGTACATTCTACAAATGAGTTATAGATAGCTGTATTGGAGCAATTTGTTTACAGATTCAAGTCTTTTTCTGTAATATCTGTTACTAAAGGAATCAGACTACTGACTGGCTAAATAACCAAAATAATGCCACTTCTAAGTTCCAGTTGCCTTTAAACTGAATCATCTTGATCCTAGACAGCTTTACTAATCTGTCAAGCCTCTAGCTACCATATAAAAATAAAGGGCTAGAAGCTTAGGTATATTTGAATATTGGGTCTTGTTGCATTGTTTTCTGTACCCCAGTTCAAGGTAATACCCTCTAGCCTTCTGGTCACTTGACATACTGTTACAACATCTGAAAAACTTGCCATCTCATTTTTTGCTGCATTCTCTGTATTAAGGGGGCGGGGCAGAACCAGAGAAGTCCATATTTTGGACCAACTTGAGTAATATATCTTTCTACTGATTAGCAGGCACAAAATTGAGATTCTAGAATTAATAAATATAGATTATTCTTCAAATAATTGTGTTGAGAAGCATGGAAAGGAGGAATTGAAGATGCATATTGAAATCATGCTTTCAAATAATAATAATATTATAATATTATATTATAATAATAAATAAATAATACTATTATAATAAAAGGAATATATTGAGGAAGTAGATTAGTGGTGTTAACCAAATTTATCTTTTGTCTTGTTTTCATCATTGCCTTCCCTATCCCCTGAAGCAATTGGCCTGTGATCTGAGGTATGCTGATAAATGTTTCACAACCAGTTCTAGGGGTAGGAAGGGGAGAATGAAAAGAGAAGGAAGAAATATGCATGATACACTTTAAGTTTAATCAACTTCATTAGAATTTTCTCCATCGCTTTGTTGAGTCTAGACAATCAACAAAAACTTAGTAAACCAAGCCCTGATATGTAGCATTTCTTGATTTCTGAGGTGTGGATGCTCACATTAAAAAAAAATTAACGATTGGCTTCTGCTAGCTGGTCCAAGATGCATCAGCACTCTTTCTTGTAACCTGCCCAAGGGAAGATACTGCTTCAGAAACAATTGAGATATTGATTAAAATGAGAAGGTCCCTTTTATTACTCCAGGAGAATCCTTGAGTGGAATAGTCAGGGAAGGAATTGAGTAGCGACTCTTGTTCTGGAATGTTGACTCTTGTTCTGGAATGTTAACCAAAACTGAAATATATGAAGAGCTTTTCCTTATTCAAGATTTTTATAAATGACACCTCAACTAATTTTGGGGGTAGAGAAACGTACAAGAATAAAGTCAGTTTGTCAGTTTGGACCTCTGTCTCTCTCTTTCTATTGCTCTCTGTGTCTCTGTCTCTCAGCTAAAGTGCTCAGATACTAATGTTAGATTAAATGTTGCTTTCAGACTTGTATCTAAAATGTAGAATATAGTATTGATATTTTTCTTTTACAAAATCAAAAGGAATGCTTAAATCAAATCCAAACAATAGCCATATCCAAAAATATGTGTGTCTTTCTGTACCTTGAGTCCATCACCTTTTTCAGGAAGCAGGAAAAATGTTTTTTATAATTTTACACCTGGCTAACCTCCTGGATTTCATGGTATCACCCTTTATGTCAAAATCATGTATCCATTTTGACCTTATCTTGGTATATGGTGTAAGATCTTGTTCTATACCTAGTTTCTGCCATACAGAAGTTTTTGTCAAATAGTGAATTCTTTTCCCAAAAGCTTGGGTCTTTGAGTTTATGAAACATTAATACGATCATTTACTACTGCGTATTGTGTACCTAATCTATTCCATTGATCCACCACTCTATTTCTTAGCCAGTACCAGATTGTATTGTTTTTTGTTTGTTTGTTTGTTTGTTTGTTGCTTTTTGGTGAGGCAGTGGGATGAAGTGACTTGCCCAGGGTCACACAGCTAGTAAGTGTCAAGTGTCTGAGGGCAGATTTGAACTCAGGTGCTCCTGACTCCAAACCTGAGCTCTATCCACTGAGCCATCTAGCTGTCCCTGTACCAGACTGTTTTGATGATAACCACTTTACAATCTTTCACATTTTTCAAAAATTAATTCCCTTGGTATTCTTGACTTTTTGTTCTTCTAGGTGAATTTTGTTACTACTTTTTCTAGTTCTGTAAAATACTTTTTTGGTAGCTTGATTGGTATGGCCCTGAATAAGTAAATTCACTTCAGCAGAATTGTCATTTTATATTGGCTCAGCCTATCCATGAGCAATTAGTATTTCTCCAATTGTTTAGATCTGACTTTATATGTGTGAATGAAAAGTGTTTTGTAATTGTGTTCATATAGTTCCTGGGTTTGTCTTGGCAGGTAGATTCCCAAATATTTTTTTATTGTCTACAATTATTTAAAATGGAATTTCTCTTTCTATATCTTGCTGCTGGACTTTATTGGCAATACATAGAAATGCTGTTGATTTATATGGGTTTATTTTATATCTTGCAACTTTGTTAAGGTTGTTAATTATTTCAACTAGTTGTTTAGTTGATTTTCTAAGATTCCCCAAGTATACAATCAGGTCATCTGCAAAGAGTGATAATTTTAATTCCTCATTGTCAATTCTAATTCCTTCAATTTATTTTTGCTATCATGCTATAGCTAATATTTTAGTACTATATTGATTAATAGTGGTGATAACCTTGTTCACCCCTGCTTTTATTGGGAAGGTTTCTAGCTTATCCGTATTACAAATAATGCTTGCTGGTGGTTTTAAATAACTACTACTTATCATCTTAAAGAAAGCTACTTTTATTCCTATGCTCTGTAGTGTTGTTAATAAGAATGGGTATTGTATTTTGTCAAAAGCTTTTTCTGCATCTGTTGAGATACTCATGGGATTTCTGTTGATTTTGTTAGTGATATGTTCATTATGGTAATAGTTTTCTTAATGTTGAATCAGCCCTGCATTCCTGGTATAAATCCCACCCAGCCAGAGTGTATGATCCTAGTGATATATTGCTGTAATCTTCCTGCTAGTATTTTATTTAAATTTTTTCGTATCATATCCATTAGGGTGGTCTATAGTTTTCTTTCTCTGTTTTTGTTCTTCCTGGTTTAGGTATCAGCACCACATTTGTGTTGTAAAAAGAATTTGGTAGGACTCCTTCATTGCTCATTTTTCCAAATAATTTATACAATATTGAAATTAATTGTTCTATAAATGTTTCAAAGAATTCATTTGTGAATCCATCTAGCTCTGGAGATTTTTTTCTTAGGGAATTCATTGATGGCTTGTTCACTTTGTTTTTCTAAGATGGAGTTACTAAGTATTCTATTTCATCTTTAATTAATCTGGAAAATGCATACTTTTATAAATATTCTTTCATTTTGCTTAGGTTGTCAAATTTATTGGCATGTAATTGGGCAAAATAACTTCTAATAATTGTTTTAATTTCCTCTTCATTGGGGGTGAATTCACTTAAAATTTTTGATACTAGTGATTTGATTTCCCTTTTCCTTTAACTCAAATTAACCAATGGTTTAATTTATTTTCTTGGTTTTTTCATAAAACTAGCTCCTTGTTTATTTATTAATTCAATAATTTTCTTAGTTTCAATTTTATTAATCTCTCCTTTGATTTTCAGGATTTCCAATTTGGTGTTTAATCGGATATTTTAAATTTGTTCTTTTTCTAGTTTTTTAAAATTGCATGTTCAATTCATTGATCCGTTCCTTCTTTAATTTATTATAGTAAATGTTTAGAGATATAAATTTTCCCCTAAGTACTGTATCTCATAAATTTGGCTTTATCACACAAATTTTGGTACATTTTCTCATTATAGTCATTCTCTTTAATGAAATTATTTTGTTTCTGTAATTTGTTCTTTGACCCACTCTGTCTTTAAGAATAGGTTATTCAGTTTCTGATTAATTTTTAATCTATCTTTTCATGGGACTTTATTGAATGAAATTTTATTGCATTATGATCTGAAAAGACTGCATTTAATATTTCTGCCTTTCTGCATTTGATTGTGAAGTTTTTATGCACTAATACATGGTCAATTTTTGTGTAGGTGCCATATACCACTGAGATAAAAGTATATTTCTATTCCCATTCAAGTTTCTTCAGAGGTCTATCATATCAAATTTTTCTAAAATTTTATTCATCTCCTTAACTTCTTGTTTATTCTTTGGTTAGATTTATCCGTCTCTGAAAGGGGAAAATTGAAGTCTCCCACTATTATCATTTTGCTGTCTATTTCTTCCTTCATTTAACTTCTTTATAAATTTGGGTACTATACCATTTCGTGCATATATATTTAATATTGACATTACTTCATTGTCTATGGTACCTTCCAGTAAAATGTGGTTTCCTTCCTTATCCCTTAATTAAATCTATTTTTGCTTTCACTTTGTCTGAGATCATGATTGTTAGCCCTGCTTTTATTTTTATCTTCAGCCAAAGCATAGTAGATTCTGCTTCAGCCTTCACTGTGTATGTGTCTGTTTCAGATGTGTTTCTAATCGACTCTGCTATCTGCTTCTGTTTTATTAGTCAGTTTATCCCCTTTACATTCATAGTTATAATTATTAACTTTGCATTTCCATCCTATTTTTCCCATTTCTCTCTCTCTGTCTCTCTTTCCTTTTACCCTGTCCCTCCTCACAATGTTTTGATTCTGACCACCATCTCCCCTAATCTTCCCTCCCTTTTTTCACTGCCTTGCTTTCTCTTATCCTGAGACTGACTGAACTTGACCTGATATTTGATTTTTTAAACATTCAAATTCTATTCCTCCCTCCGCTTGAGATGGTAAGCAATCAGATATAGGTTATATATGTGAAATTATATAAAATTGACCTGGTATTTGAACTCCTTTTTGGATACTTGCAATATTTTGCTGTGCTGTGGAAGCTCTGGATTTGGCTATAATATTCCTAATATTTTTCCTTTTGGAGTTCCTTTCAGGTATTAATTGGTGTGTTCTTTCTGTTTTTACCTTGCTTTCTGGTTCCAATAGTTTTCAATTATGGTTTCTTAAAATTTATTTCATTTTTTTTAATCTCTTGCTTCATTTCTTCTAAGTATTCATGATTTCATTGTGGAAAGTTCTCTTTTTTTTTTTTCCACTTTTGAGTCTCTGCTTGCAGTTGTTTTAAAGTAAATTCCCTCCTAGGCTGGATATTTGGTTGTAAATTTTAGAACTACGATGATATTTTATATTGGTTGGTGTCTTCTTTGGTTTACTCAACTCTCTAGCTTTAGTTTCTGAATTAATTATTGAATTTTGGCAGAACTAGACTTTACCCTTTGCTGCACTTTTAGGTGGAATGATCAGCCCTTTCTCATCTTATACTTAGTCACTTGGGTTCATGCTCCAGCCTCCAACTGCAAGGATTAGGCACTCTCACATCTTTGAGATTCAGTGCTGGATCTTCAGGGCCCATTATGGCATTTCAGGACAGAGTTCTAGGTACCTTAAATTCCCTGGTGGCTTCCAAGGTTCTCATAGTGAGATTCAGACAACCTTGGGGATTCTGACTACGGTGAGTCTTTCTTGAGGAGTCCTTCATTCTTACTGCTTCTAGATATAAAGCCTTACAATTTACAAGTATCTGTGGCCTATCTCTGATTGATCTGAGAAGGTACCTGCTTGTTTGCCTATATTAGCCCAATCTTGGTTGCTGTTCTCTGTTTCTATAACCTGTGGGCTACTGGTTGATTTTTTGTGTAGTTTGGAGGTGGAAGAAGGCACATATTATATTTTCTCATTGTGTTTCATGGTCATTATTTGGTCTAGTGCATATCTCAGAGTTTTGTAGAAGTAGAGATAGGGTAGTAAGGAAGCTCAGCAATTGCATCCCTTTAGCAGCCGTATTGTCCAGAAGTCCCACCATTTGAAAGTATTAGGAACTTCAATTTGGATTTGTCATGTCTTTGTCTATTCTTCACCCTATTTCTGCTTTTACTTTGTTTATATGCAATACTCTTTTTATAATGAACTCATATTTCTTTTTGCCATCATATCTTTTCCCCAGAGCACAACTACTCCATTCAGAAATTTAACCAAAAACACTGTGATTACTTTTATTAACCTATGAAAACTCTTAAATTAAAACCTAATTAATCATAGAAGAAAAATATGTATTACCCTAAATATTCAACTCTATAGGGTCTCCCTAAAACTTAATTCTAAAAGGTTTTTGAAGTGTATGTCTTAATATATGAATTATTTTAGGTCTTTATAGTTCTTAAGTATACTTACATATCTTTTGCTTTCTTAATTACCTGTCTTTTACTTTTAAACACAGTGCTTAAGTTTGTTAGGAAACTGATTCTGAGATTGAGGTCTATTAAAATATATACATACATACATTTATGTGTGTATGTATGTGGGTATACACACACACACACACATATACCCACACACAGAGAGGAGAGAGAGGGGAGAGACAGAGACAGAGAGACATACAATGGAGAGACTACGCAACATGCTTAGATATTTTGCAACTGCTTTGAATCTGCTAACTACAAGGTGAATAGGAATTGTCTGCAGTAGCTAAAATTGAGGGAAGGGGGTCTCAAAAAGCTTCAGTTAGTTTAGGGTATTATCTTCTGCTGCCCTCTCTTTATGGATCTCTTTCCTGATGGAGTCTAGTAAGAGATAGTGCTTTAAGGGAAGAGACCTGGACTTTCTCCCTCTAAGGCTAAGTGGTCCCATGAAAACTGGTCTCAAACTTTTTGCCTTTCTAATGTTCCTTTATATTCCAGGTGAATGGATTATGAGTGTCTAAAGGTAAGAATAATGAACTTCTGGACTTCTGCTGTCCCAACATCACAATGTCAAGTTTTGCAGCTGGCAGAGCATCAGTTGCTCAAGGAGGAAGGATTGACCATCAGGAGTAACCACTGAGACCCAGTCTAGCAGAAGCAGAGACAAGGACTCATCTAGCCATCATGTCATACCTAGATAGGAACTTGGTGGGACCAATATTATGTAGAAATTATGCTAAATATGAGGCCACTATCCTCAGAGACTGAGGTGGTATAGGGGTGAGTATGCCTCTGAGAATGCATGAGGGAATGTTTGTACTTTTTAAATGCTATATCATCAAAGCAAATGTCCTAAAATCTAATGGATGTTAAGTGGTTAAGTAGAACGGGGTGCTTGTCACAGGTTACTAACAGTGGAGAATGTTAACAGTAGGTTATTGAGTTGATGATATTAGATAAAAGACAGCTCCAAAACTTTCACAGTATCCTTGGGTAGGGGGAGTGCGTCTAACTGCTCATGTTAAAATATGGGGTTATGATATGAGTCCTGTTTGATACCTACCATCATGGGAGAGTTGGGACTTTTAGAAGGAATCCAGTTAAACAAGGCTGGGGAATGGTTCTGTTGTTGATTGTTGATCTTCTAGAAAAAAAATGGAAAGGAGATGGAGGAATACACTGTTGGGGGTGGAGAGGAATAAAAAGATTAGGGAAATTTAATTCACATACTAAAGGGTGCACAAGTAGCTATCTATACAAGAGGAAGGGATCAGGTGGGTCACTAGCTGACATTTGATCCTTACTCTCATTTGAAGTGATCAAAGGAGGGAAGAATATATACAGACACACATATACAGATATTTGGATAAAGGAATACATTTCAATCAACAGGAAAATAGGAAAAGGAGAGAAGTGGGAGGGAGAGGGAAAATTAGAGGGAGGGCCAATTTAGGGAGAGATTAGTCCTAAACAAAACAAACTCTTAAGGATATACAAAAATACTTATGGCTCTTTTTGAAGTGTAAAGAATGGAAAGCTGAGGGATTATCTGAGAGATAAATTGCACAACAGATGAACATTCTGTTATATAAATGTGATGGAATATTATTGTGCTGAATTCTTATCGGCATAAGGACCAACCAGGATTCCAGAGGACTAATGACAAAACATGGTCCCTACCTCCTGATGCAGAGGTGAAAGGCTCAGAATGAAGAATGAGACCATTTTTGGGGGGTGGGGGGATGTCGGGTAGACATGGTCAATGTGGAAATTTGTTTTGGCTAACTACACATTTTTATAATGCTTTTGTTTTTCTCATGGTCCCATCTGGGGTAGGGCAATTAGGGAGAGTGAAAAGGCAAATCTTGGCTGATTAAAACAAACAACCCCCCCCTTTTTTTTAAACCACTAGAAGAATGGACAAGATTCACACAGATTGAAAAATCTTGGATGTGTTGTGATCTGAAGAGTGAGTACCCACATCAGTGAGATCATAGATCCATGGAAGTATCAAAGTTTCCTGAAAAACATTTCCTTTAATAGTTTACTTATACTTGTGTTCAATGCTATGCTTTCTACTATAGATTTGGTCACCTTGCTTGTGAGGAAAGTAAGCTTCATTGATTTGAAGTTCTCAGGTCCTGCCCCTTCTTATGAATATTTGTCATAGCTATTTGTAGTTATGCCATCCTTACAAAATGTCATATTTATGAATGGACAAAATTGTTAGCCCATTGGCTATTTGTAATAACAGGTCAAAGTTAAATAGGTCATAATTTTGTTCAATTTCTACTAAAACTTTCAGATATTAAATCCTATAATATAACCACTTTAAATTTGTGGCTCTGGTTTGGAAGATTGTATCCATTTACTGTTCTTTGATTGAGTTTCTCCAATCTCTCCATTTAAAGGGATAATTTGGGAATGGAAATTTTTCTAGATTCCCCATCAAAGCCTTATAAAATCAAGTGTGTGGTCACTACACTGGATATTTTTTGCTTAAATCACAATTTTTTGTCATAGGAGAGGTTTCAATGTAGAGGGAAGGGAGTGGGTTACTTCAAAATGACTGACAAAATTTATCCATAAAATTTAATTTTGAAAATAAAATCACCAGTGAAAGATTTTAAGAGATTGAATTTACTTTATCTCCATTTATACCATGCTTGATCAAGTGTGTCCACTGATTATTTAGCCAGTTCTCTACTTTTGGTCGTTTGGGTTTTTTGTTTGTTTGTTTTTGTCTAGGTCTGTTATTTCACCTGTCAAATGAAAATCAAAGCATTCAAACTTATTGGTTGTGAGTGGGACATGACCATCCCCAAGTATTTATCTGGTAGATCAAGGAACTCCTTGCTCCAAGTCCAGTAAACTTTCCACTCTACAGGATGTCCCAAAGTCTTAGTGCAGTTTCCTGTTTTAATTTTTTTTAGCTTATTATTTTTTTTTGTAGAAAGCATTTTATTTTTCCAATTACATGTAATGATAGTTTTCAATATTCATTTTTATAAGATTTTGAATTCCAAATTTCTCTCTCTCTCTCCCTTACCTCCCCTCTCCCCAAGACAGCAAGCAATCTGATATAGGTTATACATGTGCAATCAGTTAAACATATTTCCACTTTAGGTGTGTTGTAAAAGAAGAAACCGAACAAGTGGGGAAAAAAATCATGAAAACAAAAAAAATTTTTGAAGTGAAAATAGTACGCTTCAATCTGTATTCACACTCCATGGTTCTTTCTCTGGATGTGGATAGCATTTTCCATCTTGGATCATTGTATTGCTAAGAAGAGCTAAGTCTATTATAACAGATCATCGCATAATGTTGCTCTTACTGTGTACAATGTTCTCCTGGTTCTACTCACTTCACTCATTATCAGTTCATGTAAGTCTTTCCAGGTTTTTCTGAAATCATCCCACTTGTCACTTCTTATAGCATAATAGTATTCCATTACATTCATATGCCACAACTTAGTTAGCCATTTCCCAGTTGCTGGGCATTCCCTGAATTTCCTATTCTTTGTCACCACAAAAAGAGCTGCTCCAATCTAATAGATGTGATATGGTACCTCGGAGTTATTTTGCATTTCTCTAATAAATAGTGATTTAGAGCATTTTTTTATATGACTATAGATAGCTTTGACTTTTTCCATCTGAAAACTGCCTGTTCATATCCTTTGACCATTTAACAATTGGGGAATGACTTGTATTCTTATAAATTTGAATCCATTCTCTATATATTTGAGAAATGAAACCTTTATCAGAGACACTTGCTGTAAAAATTTTTTCCCAGCTTTCTGCTTTCTTTATAATCTTTGTTGCATTGGTTTTGTTTGTGCAAAACCTTTTTAATTTAATGTAATCAAAATTATACATTTTGCACTTCATAATGTTCTCTATCTCTTGTTTGGTCATGAATTCCTCCCTTCTCCATAGATCTGATAGGCAAACTATTCCTTGCTCTCCTAATCTGCTTACAGTATCACCCTTCATGTGTAAATCATGTACCCATTTTGATCTTATCTTGGTAGGTGTGAGATTTTGATCTATGCCTAGTTTCTGCCATACTATTTTCCAGTTTTCCCAGCAGTTTTTGTCAAATAATGAGCTCTTATCTCAGAAGCTGGAGACTTTGGGTCTTAGTGCAGTTTCAAGCAATGTCCGCACACCTTAACACATTCATATAGCGTTCTAAGGTTACATCCTTACTTGCTTTGGCTTTTTTTTTCCCCTGAATTATATAATCATCCCAATGTTCAATTTCACTTTGAATATGTGGCATTAGTCACTTCACTTCTCTCTCAGTTTCCTCATCTGTAAAGTGTTTTGAGAAGCGTTCTAAAAACCTTACAAGGCATAAAGGAAAGGGCCCCGAGGGCGCTTCAAAGAACCTACGATGGGATCCCTATTTTATTTTACTATCTGTGTGACCTTGAACAAGTCCCAATATCTGTGAATTTCGACGTCGTCATTTGTAAAACGAAAGGGTTGCACGAGGTTCCTGACAGGTCCAAATCCAAGAAAAGTTTTCTCTTAAAAGAACATGAAAAACACTCCATTAATTCTTATCCTCTAGAGGGCCCTCATTCCGCGTGCAAAGACCTTGCCCCGCCCAGGCGGAGGGCTTGCACGAGGGCAATTCCCCATGCGCGCATGCGCCAACTGCCGAACACCGCCCCTTCCCTCCGTCTCAATCCCCCCAACTAAGATTAATGTCTGTTTCCCATAAGCCGATTCGTTAGAAGGCTCCTCTTTCTTTTTCTTTTCTTTATTAAGGCTCCATCCAGGAGCTACGGCCGTACCTATAGCGGTGTGCACCTTTCCCTCGCCAGCCTTTCCACTAGTGACAAGGATTGGTAAGCGGCGGGAGGGAGGCCGCCGTCGAAAGTGCCGACGCCATCTCTGGCCTTAACCCCAACCCGGTGGGAAGGATCAAGATGGCGTGTCTGCTGGAGACCCCAATCCGCATGAGCGTCCTTTCGGTGAGTGACCCGCGGCGGCTGTCCAGGGTAGGGGTAGAAGGAGGGCCGCTCCGCCGCCTTCCGGGCGCGGCCGCGTTCTTCAAGGACTCCCGTGGTTCCCGTCCGGTCCCCCGGGGGGCAGCCCTCCCTCCTCAGCCGGCCGGGCTCCGGGGAGGTGCCTGGGGAGCGCTCGCTCTGGAGATTGAGAATCGGAGATGAGCCTCTGGCGGCGCGGCTCTACGGAGCCCCGGAACCCCCGGCGCCACCTGTGCCGGGCTGCCTTGGGGTCTGTCCGCCCTGACACCTGGTGGCGGCCGGGGCTGGTGGCTCGTCTCCCCGCCGGGAGCGTGGGGCAGCCCCCTTTCCCCGGTTCCCCGCGGAGCTCCGGGGAGGCTGGAAGGGAGGGGCGGAGTTAGGGCAGCCTGCCGGTCTCGGGGCTCCGGGTCGGGGATCCCCCGACTTTCAAGGGGGCCAAGCCTGGGTGCGGGGCACGTGCGGAGTCGCTTGTGCTGAGGTTGGGGGGCTCATGCTGCAAGTCTCGTAAAAGCGTGGTCTGATCTCTTCTATCTGGAGCTGTCCATAGGGTCGTTTCTCTGGCTTGAGCCGCCCGGGGTTTCTGTGCTTAGTGATGGGTAACGACAGATCCACTCCTTGGAAGGAATTAAAAGAATAAAAAGAGGGTGACCAGACGTTCACTAGCATGGGGAAAGGGCACACTTGTAAGTTTGACCCTCCAGCGCTTGGAAGGCTGTCACTTAGAAGGGAGAGGATGCCCCGATCGGTTTTGCTGGAGAGAGGTCGGAAGTAGGACCAGTGGTGGAAATTTTACAGCCCTTACAACTGGAGCTGTCCAAAAGTAGTTAGATGTAGGACTGGAGAAGCAGCGAGCTTATAAAGGTAGCTGGAAGTGTTCAGGCAGAGACAGGATGGCCGCTTAACTATGAGAGGTGTTTTAGAAGGGATTTCTACTTGGGTTGGGGAGTTGAAGCAGATAACTTTTTTTGGACCCCAAAGACCCTCCCATTTCTTTATTCCATTGCTTTTCTTTTCATACCCTTTCTAATGCTTTGGGTTTTGAGATTCTACCTGAGCAGATTACTTCCAAAACCCCTTTTGACTGTGGTTTTAAGTTAATTACATCCCTTTCCTTCAGCATACACCGTATTTTGGGAGGATTTTGAACAGAGCACCTCAGGACTAGAGAAATAGGACCTTTTCTTATCTACTCTAAATATAGCATAGTACATTGACAATGCAAATACTACAGTTTTAAATAAAAGTTTACCCTGAGCTGTCCATGACATTGTCCTAAGTCAATCTTAATAAATTTTATATACTTCAGGGTGTCTTATTTATCAAACTCAACACAAAGGTCTAAGAACGCATGTTCTCACCATAATCAGACTAGGCCATTGTTCTATCTCTGACAGTGACACCAAAGAGTATTTTTTGGAGTATAATGGTAGTTTTCTTTTAACAACCACATGTTTAAAGATTCAGCGGTTCAATAAATATTTATTAAGCAACTACTGTAAGCATGGTACTGTGCTAGAGGTTAGGGAATTATAGAGTCTAGATTTGGCATGGCCTCTGCCTCAATGCAGTTTATAGTCCATTAGGGTACTATGAACATTCCTAACTTTTAAATAAACTTTTTTTAGTGCTATCAACCATGCATCTCTCTGTTTCAAGTATTTATCTGCAGTGAAAAGTAATTTTAAAAATTTTGTCCTGAAACCATTTTCTTCAGTCTTCAGGGGCTGCCTCCTAATTTATGTTGTGATAATCATTGTTGGATAGAGCAAAGTGGATGTTTAGCTCTTATCTCATGAAGTGCAATGTGTTGGTGGGGTTGCCACAATTTGAGATATGGTTTCACACTTCTGTAGGTCCCGAACTTCATCTCATGCAGAGGTGATTGGTATCTGAGATAACTTGCTTATACTGTTCAAACAGAGGGATGATTTGATCCAGAATACCAATTTATTAAATTTGCTGATACATTCTTTTAAGTGAATGAAAGTTCCATGTACACTCTTCTGGTGACCTCTTTTCTAGTATTGAGGTAACTGGGAAACTGAATTGGTAATAAAAAGGTAGATTGACAAGCATTTCATCAGAGAGAAAGTTGGATTTGGAGTAAAGTCCTGGCTCTGCTACTTGCTACCTGTTTGATTTTGGATAGGCAAATAACTTAATTTCTCTGTTCCTCAGTATATTCATCATTAAAATGAGGACCTTGAACTAGATGATTTCTGTGGACCCTTTCATTTTAATTCTATGATCTGATGGTCAGAATGTTTCAGAATCTAGGCTCCGTTATTCATAGAAACTGTACTTCAAGGTTTATTCTATTTCCTGAGTTTCTGTTGCAATTTCTTACCTCCATGTATTTGCTCACACAGAGTACGCCATGTTTTTTTAAAGAGATACTACCCTATCTCTTTTTCTGTACTTGTACAAACCCAGTTTATCTCTCAATATTGATCTTAATTCCTGCCTTCTCTGTGAAATCTTTCCTGACCTGTGTGAAACTGTTCTTGGCCCAATGTTCTTCCATATTGAACTTAGATAATGTTTCTTATTTAACTCATTAATTTTACAATCATCACTAGCTGCCTTGCTATTTGTTGTTTTATGGATACATGTCTTGTCTTCTCACCTTAATTATAAACTCTGTTAAGGGAGAGATTCTTTTTACTACTTGGTATCTAGTACAGTACTGATAGGTTGAACTAATAAGTTTATTCGTGAACTAATCTGTTTAACTATGGAATAAACTTTTCTTTTGACTTAGAATACTTTTCTTTTCCCTAGGCAGTGTTGGAACCATACTGACAAATTCTTACTATCTAGTTTTGTTTTGTGTTTTCTTTCTAGATAGCATGACAGCTATTTCCTTTTTTCTCCTCCCAGTGCCTGTTTTTTTTTTAAAGGATGAGGATATGCTTTCTGTGTAATACTGTCACCTGACAGGATCAAGTGTGTTAATTGATGCAAAAAAAATAATAATTTTACTGTAAAATAAACATTTCCATCCTATTTTTCTTTGCCTCGTGGATAAAAAATATCATATTAAAGGATGCGGTACAGATTTTCTAGGTACTCTCAAATTCTGATCTTTCTGCTGTTATTAATGCTAGGCATTTTGTCATCCTATTTGGCTACAGCTTTACATTTAACTGATGTGGGTTGTAACTTGACACTTAGAGCTTTTTATATAAACATAAAAACTTAGTCATCCTTTTTTCTTAATAGCAAAATAATAGTAAAACCAATGGGTGACATGTTCTAAAGATTCAGTGAACACATTTAAAATAGTTTGGCATTAACTTACTATAAAGAACTGACTATTCGAAGTATATCAAAGGTTATACCAAAATAAATCAATACTACTGGATTTATGACTTCTTATTATTGGTCCAAGGAGAGTTGGAAGTACAGTTGTGATGTCTGTTCTTAGATGGGCTGTTTTGTTAGGCCAATAGCACTACCTAAATTCAATGTGTTAATACCAAGTGACAGCCTTAAAGTGTGGAGAAAAGAACTAGGAAGTCTCCTTGACTTACCTGGAGACCCTGCTGGCTAAGCCTCTCATATTAAAATTTGAAGGACTCAAGTTAATAATGATACTAAGGGATTCCAGTGATACTGGACTTAATCTAGCTTTCTTCTGATTTGCCAGTAGACATGATCTATCCTAACTTCTGTAATGTTGCCTGCTGGTGCCACCATGACTGCAAGTTAAAGGTATAACGATATTTGTTGAAATGGCTCCTTTTCTTCTGGAAACTATAGAACACTTGCCTATTTTGAACTTTGGTTATTCACTGTGCTCCTATGGTCTATCTAGTTATTACATATATTTTAGATAAGAGGTACACATGTATAGTCAGAATATTTATTGAAAAAAGATTGGCCTTGGCAATTGGTGTATTCTTTTTTTTTTACCACTTTTATTTATTTTTTGTTTGTGCTTTTTTTTGCTAGGCAATGGGGTTAAGTGACTTGCCCAGGGTCACGCAGCTAGTAGGTGTTAAGTGTCTGAGGTCATATTTGAACTCAGGTCCTCCTGACTCCAGGGCAGGTACTCTATCCGCTGCGCTACCTAGGTGCCCCCAATTGGTGTATTCTTACTGGCATATTCAGAATATAAGTTTTTCTAGTTGTAATGTCAGTTAGTGGTCTACTTCTCTTCACCTCCCTCCCCACTCTGTTTGTGATTCAACAAAAAGCATGTAGGAGCTAATAAGACAGGCATAATTAGCATGTTTTTCTCATTTGGAAAATGAAAATGTAATGCAAATTTTCTTTTAGCTCTGTGGTGTTTCAGGTTTTAAACACTGAAACAACAAATGTTTAGCAATAAATTACTTTTAATATATAACTTTTAGTATTTACTACATGATATAGAGTTGTCAAATATAAATACCTTTGCTATTTGTTGGATACAGAATTTAGTTCCATACATCTGCTATTTGATAGATATTGAATTTAGTTCCTATCATATTTATAAAAATATCATGCATCAATATTTCAGGTACCTATAATTTCATTAGTATGGATATTTCTTCCATTGGCAACTCCTTTTCCCTCCAACTCTCCAACTTAGATTTTCTTAGAAAATTGCTATAATTCATCACCCTGTTGCCAAACTGATGCTGAGCCTCTCATAACATAGTTATGACAACAGGTGTACAGTCTAGTGGCTAATGCTGAAAAACTACAGAGTTCATTAAACCAGCCAGAACTTGTGTTCTGCCTATATAGTCTATAAAAATTCAAGGTTACCTCCACAATTAGGCATTGAAGTAGAATCTATATTGAAGTAGGACTTCTAAGTGTAAAAAAACTATAGTGGTCTAAACATAGATTTCTACTTCTACCCGGAGGCTGGTTTCTGGAAAACTTAAGGTGAAGTGGGGGGGGGGGGGAGACTATATTACACTCTTAGTTAAGGGACAATGAAATTGATGATAAAAATGAACAGAACATCTTTAACTGAATGAAAGCAATGCAAA